CGTTGTACAGAAGAACCCACAAATAACGGCTTGGAGGACACCACGACAGCAATATTTACAGGCTTTTCCTAAGCAACAAGTACAAAATCTGTCAAAGGACGATTTTATTTTAATATTATAATTTTGTCCATGGATTCGTGGAACAGACGATTTCTAATGTATCTTATTTACTGACAAAACTCAATTTACTCGCGATGGAATTAAAAATTGATGCAACAATAACCGATGGTCGGAAGATAATCATCATGCTACGCAAGAACACAATTTTTAAAGTCGGTTTAGTATGAACGTATGGTGCGGCATTCTAAATGATCAGCTGTTCGGTTCTTTCGTATTGAATAACCGCCCTAATAAGGATGCTTATTTACATTTTTTGGAAGATAATTTAAGGGAAATATTGGACAACGTACTTTCGATATTCGACCTCGTAGTATCTACCAACATGATAATGCAGGCGCCTTCCTATTTTCCAAATACTATTCAACATTTAGCAAACCCACATTTCCCTTTGGCCACCGAGATCACCGGATTGCACTCCTTCAGATTTTGTTTTTGAAGATGGATGAAGTCGTTTGTTTATGCTACAAAAGTGGAAAAATATGATGGAACGAATGCAATACTAGTTTGCATTTTTATCCTGAAATATGGTTCACAACAACTCGCGACTCGCGATCAATTTATAAACTCGCAAATAAAGAAATCGAATTGGAAGGTAATTTTTTCGATAATCTGTAATAAATTCTTGATTGAATCGATAATTTTGTTGAATGGCGAATATTTTTTTATAATTTTTTGTTTTGATTTGGGTTCAGTTTTGAAATTACAACTAATCAAAGTACCTAGGAAACAAATAAAAGTTGGATTTGTTATCAGCTTGTTTTGCTAAATTTGAGCTGACCCTTGTCCTTAAAAAATGCACTTCTTCCTGAATAAAAAAGATAAAATAATCATATTTAATGATGAATATCTGTAGTTATAATAAAAATATTTCCATATGTAAAATATAAGATAAAAGAACAACATTTATTATCGCAATTTTGTCAATTGAATTGAATAAAATTAGAACATTCGACAGATACTAGAATCACAGGTGCATTAAATATTTCAATAAATCACAATATTTCCATCGACTTTAAAGCAAAAGAAGTCCTTAGCGATTTTCTGACAATAACTGATCACGAAATTAAATATGTTATTTCAAGGATTAGGGTTCGTATGGAATAAGAAAACCTGTATTATAACAGATGTTTAAATAAAACATCAGTATCAAAATCGATAAGTGAAATAACAGGTGCAAGGTAAAATTATATCTCAACAGAAGTGAAGACAGTGTATTTAGAATTTCCTGTTATTATATCACCTGCGTTAACTCAAATAACTTAATAAAGAAAATGGGGGGCTTCAAGTCACTCTTGGAGAACTAAACTAATGAAATTTAGCATTACAAAGATTAGAGAAGACGTGCAAAAATTTGATTAACTAAAAAACGAAATGAACCTAAAAAAGAGTATGTTAGTAAATTGTTTAACAATAATAGGAGAATGCAATATGTTTTTTTGTAATAATAATAATTCTGATAATTTGTTTTTTACAAATTGTAAATTATTTGACTTTGACTTGAAATCCCATTGCTTAAACCAATAAAGATAATATCAATTAATACATATATAAATAATCTTTATTTCCTACTGAAAAAGGGTATTGACCCAATCGGTCTTTCGGCCCTATTAATTAATAATTTTAATGTATATTTAATTTTGGCGTATGTTTCTATGGTCTACTTCAGATTTTAGCATAGGTTTTAGCAACCATGTATTACTTAAGTTAACTGAACATGAGGCAACACAATTATTTTGATTTAGTAAAATGAATGCGCTTTCTATAATTTTACTTTTTCTTTGCAGATGGTTCCTTTGCTAAAATTCTAGAATTATTCGATTGAATTTTGAATATGAAAATATGCATCCGTTCCAACAATGTAGAACATGAATCGGTAAAAAAAATAGTAAAACGATTAATATTAATTTCGAACATTATGATGTAAAAATGATGTAAAAGTAGCAAGTAATTAAAATAAAAATATTTTCCACTGGCAAATTATAAATAAGATGAGAACAAATCAATGGATAATAACATGTGAAATTTAGTGTGTTTGTTATAGAATCCTGAAGAAAGTTACGTTTTAAAACCCGAATTACTGCGAAGGTAAATATACAGAGTAATTCAAAATTGGGCAGTATTAAAATTGGGAAGTACAGAAAAAAATCTTTCATTTCATTAAAAAATCGAATTTTTGCATGACTATAAATTTGTAACAATGTGTTGACAAAATTTTGATGCTGAAACTATAAACGAGTGACGACACCCACCACTTGATAAGAATTGTTGTTTTAAATAATAGCGTCTTCAATTGAGCTCCCAAGGGAATGATAATATACTGACACTCGTCACTTTATAAAATCATGTGGTTATTTAAGAATGACAAATCAAAATACTCATAATTCAAAATAAATAAATGTATCTGAACAAAAAAATTGGCGTTGTGCCGACCAAAGCCATACATAAAAGGGTATTGAATTCAATTGAATACGAACAATACATTAAAAATTGGGGTTCTTGCAATACTTTACAAGTTAGACATCGAAATCACCTCGTGTTTTTAACCATCTACCCTCGAGAGCCACCTTCTCAAATATCTTAAATGGCAAGGGGATTGAGTGATACATCTTTCTATTTTCTACATTTAGATACCTGACTTGTCAAATTTGACTATTGCGTTGGCAAGTTGGGGGCTTTTGACTGATATGAAACGCATTTTTTATGGGTCTTGATGCAACGTTAAAAGTGAATTTTTCCAAATTGAATTGAGTTGAAGCAAGCCTGCACGTCAGGCTATTGTTTCAATTTAACAGATACAAGTGCAAATATGGGGTAGAGCAACCGGTTTGAATAGGTATAAATACGTGGGATGACTTATACAATGTCCCATTAATAACTTACGCCAAAAACCGTGAAGTCTGGAATTTCGACCGTTATCATAAACATTATAGATAAAATCATTTAATATTTTACCTTTACAACAGAAAAATATAGGTATGTCTACAAAAAAAGCAATTGCCAGCAACTTATACGTCATACGCAAATATGTGACATGAACAAAACATATGCAGTTAAAACCTAATATTGTATGGGAACTAGGAAAGCAGAGGGTTACTGAAAGTAAAAAGAGACATCCACAAAATATAGTTTCGTTCATGCAATGCACATGCATCAAAATCATAGTTATGAGAATTCCGAAAATGTATTTTCGTTTCTACTTTAATTTTACCTTAATGTTTAAACTCATTTTGCATTTAGAATATTTAGTCAAATTAATATTCTTAATAATGTGTGTGTTTCGCCCATGTCTCTGTTTCCTATATGTAAAGTTGCAGCATGAATTTTTCAAATGGAAGACCCTGTATATTTTTATGGTATTGGTGTCAAATTGGAATTTGGTGTCGAACTTCGAAATGTCTGTGGAGAACTTAAACTTTTAAAAATGGTCTTCATTTCACAAAACTAAATTACTATTTCATGCATCGTAAGTAAGATAAACTTACATTTATTCCGGTCGTAGTCGTAGAGCCTAATGACATAACAACATATTGAAAAAATGTAACTTTGGGTTAAATCTCTTTATTGGAACATTTAGTTATTGGTACATTAGAAAATAATTTAAAAATGCACCCCCTCCATTTATCCACTAAATTATACTTTTAAACATTAAATAGTAGAAGTCGTATAATCCGAATGTAACAATAGGTGCAATAAATGAAACGTTCTTGAGCTTTTGAATTATATTTGGCTGCTTGTCCCATTTGCTGGAAAACTGGTTCATTCCGTGTTATAAGTGAATTTGTAAAACTGTTCATAAAAGGACAAAATTCGCAACCAATAAATTGTCTTGATGTTTCAAGGCATGGAAAAATACTACTATGAAAAGCTGTTGATGAAATGCATTCTTCGGTTACAAATTTGACGATAACATTATTTTTCGTGAAACCATTATAAGAACACATTTGACACAAACACGAAACATTATTGAACACAAAATTATTATTTATTCCGTTCTGTTGAGAATTTATTTAAAGTTTACAAAGCTCGAAATTCTTGGATTGAGTTTGAGCATAAACCAATTTCTTCAGATAATCCATAAAAAGAAGTCCAAAGACGAAATCACTTTTCTTCAAAATTTACATTTTAAATAAAATTTCTGATTTTTAATTAATTCTTTAATGGCGTAAAATATGTGCAAAATCGTCAGCATTGAGTAAGATAAACTTTAATAAAACTCACATTTATTTTGCATACAAGGAATTATATTTAAGAAAATGCAATTTTGTATCGGATCGAGTAATTGGGACACTGCGTACATTACAAAACAGTTCTTCACTTTCTACCTACAGGGACGTTTTGAATGTATTTCAAAGTGACATAAAACAATTTTTGGAAACTTTATCCCATTTTTTACCCAACATTTCCAAAATGTAGTAAACTCTTATTTGATAGGGTATTAATTGAATTACTAGAGCACCAGTAAATAAGTAGTGCCGGGCTGCGTTCCAGTTTATTCGACTAAAAAACAATAAAAGCAAATATGTACATCCTAAAAATTGAGGGAAGAGTTGCAAAAAGCAAACGCTTCAAATTGGGTTCTAGACGATCATTTCTAGTCAAATTGATATGGAATGACCGGTCCTACCACCCCCTTTAGTAATGCTCCACCAATTTCCAAATATGCCATAAACTTACACACTTTCAGTGCCGAAAACCATGCATTTTGGAATACTTGTAATACAATAGAGAGAAAAATGACTTTTGTGAATCTACCTGGGTGGGTGTAGAACCGCCCTGTCAGCTTGTATACTTCAAATGGTGACAAAAAACTTAACTAATGTAATTTTGAGAATTTACATATAAAATGTGGGTGGTCTTGGCTCGGACCTCGTCGGTTCAAGTCGTACGTTCAAAGCAGAAATACAATGAACGAGTGGAAGGTCCCAAGACCCAACAGCAACATTTGAGAGTACTACGTTCGAGTTGCTAGTGAACGGGGTTTAGTTCGAAAGAATCTCGTAGACGGAGAGATTTAGCTCTGAAGAGCGAATTTGAATTTAATTTTTATAAATACGTATAGTTTGTGTGTTTATTTTATATTTTTGTATTTGTGGTTATACGGTAAATGTGAATTAGTGTTGTGTTTAAAAAATGGTCCGCCAAAAAATGCCGCCTCGTTCTGTGTTCATCGTTTGTCGATGGGATCTTCTATGAACCCCAGGGAGAATGTTTTTGTTTATTTACAGGACGTTAACTATTTTACCGGGTAAATAATGTGCATTTTAATTTATATGTTTTATTGAATTATACTTTTTCATTTAAACGTTTGTATACGTTCGACGATTTCTTCAATCTTCCTGGAAATGGTCTTCTTATTTTCCATTATTAACAACGGTGTTATTTCGCAAATTTCGTTGATAAACAACTTAGAAAAGACTTAGCAAGACTTAATTTAGAAAAATGCATATATGTTCAGTGATCATGAACATTAAAACATGCTCTTTAAATTGGTTCGCATGCAATCGTTGATATTAAAAAGTAAACAAACAGGTAATTTGTTCTTCAATTATAATATAGCTCTAATTACCGTTGATTTTTCAAAAGGTATCTCATGTTGTGCTTTCCTTCTTATATGCAAGGCTACTTTTCGACTTGAGAAAAATATGAAAAACTTTACCTAGTCCTAAATTCTTCACCAATTTTACGACGTTGCCGCTTTGTAATGTTGAATAGTCTTTTACACTGACGGAGGATTTATTCGGAAGTAGTACCTGTATTGTACCATTTATGAGGTAATATGGGTAACGATTGCCTAGTGTGGTACTGAGCACCATCAGTGTGTGCGTTATATGTACCTCAAAATTACGAGTTCAATAAGGTGTTTTGAAGTTAAATTACTTAATTTAGTACTAGGTGCGTTTGTCTTCAATTTAATGAAAAATCCGTTTTTGTTTAAATAAATAGCCAATACCTAGTTGACAAAATTGGATGCTTTCATATGTATAGCAGACAATATTAAGATGGTTCAAGTCAATTCCACTGAAGGCCTTTATTATTTAGCTCAATGTTTTTGAAACTATTGATTTCTACTGCCATCTGCGTAAATAATTGTTTCAAAAACAGATAGCTAAATAATAAAGATTTTCACTAGAATGGACTCAGATTATCCTAATATTCAAAAATGTTGCTGGATTGGCCATTTTTTTACGCAAATTTGGCCCCATTTCATTTCTGAATTCGCCTAACTATCCAAAACTACTAAGTATACTTTATTTATACTTTTTGCTCGAAAAACACAGAGACTAAATACAACGTTTTGGCCTATAGTTTGCTTGATCTGTCGGCTGATTTATGGAGCGCTGAATGGAGCGGAGCGCCACAAAGGGCCAGCTCGGCCCTGAGTATTGACAGATGGCGACTGGGACCAGGGCGCCCGATGCGCCAGGGCCGGAGTCTCGACACGAGTCGGACCTGTACACGAGGCCTGGTTGGGTGGATGCCGATATTGCACTATCACAACTAAATCAGGTAATTTAACACATTAAACAACAAATTAAAGTTCGTTTTGAATACGTAATACAAAAATTAAAAACTGTATGAAGAAGCTGATTTAAGACAATACAAAATACAGGAAAGTGTGACAAAGTCTTTATACAAAACGCTATGGCATTGCATACGTCTTCTGCTGCGTCTGTAGGTAAAACGATAACGGTATAACGCACGTCTAACTAATTCGATTTACAATCGAAAATCATGTGCTAAGATTTGAAAAATAATAAAATCGCTCAAGGAATTTTTTTGTCAAATTTACTGCTCAACTTCGAAACAGTACCAGACCGCCTTGGAGATGTTTAAATCATTTTCAAACGGCATTCTATATTCCTAAATTATCTTCAAGGTATATAGATATAGACCCTGAACATTATGGTATCCGTTTTAGCTGAGAGAAACCACTATAATTCGAAAAAGTGTAAAATGTATTTATTAGTGAAAATCTGAAAGCGTTCAAATCGAGGAGAATGCATGCAGCTTGGGTTGCAATATTAGGTAACAATGCCACGACAACCTCACTCTTAAACGTACCGAAAATTATTCAAAATCACTAGTAACAAAGTAAAAAATTTGCAACAAGTACATAGTGAATGGAAATGTGTATTAAAACATATTTCTATTTTGCTATCGTTCCCTAGTTAGTCACCACCAGTTAAACCGGGAAGCAAAACTAACTAAGGTTTGTCCTAGAATATTTACTTGAAAATGGTCAACGAACGATGAACGCTGTGGCAATCAAAACATCTCCAAAATCAATGGAAGTCAGAATAAGCAAATTTACTGTTCCTACATCTTTTTTCAGCAATAGCAAATCGCTTTGGTACATTGACTATCGGTTACTTACATGCCTCTGTTTTACTTTGTCTTTTTTATTTTAGAAATGAGAAAATGGCACAAAAACTTTTACCGGATCATAGCACATGTGCATTACTCTGTTCTTATCAGCTTGCACCACGATAACTGCTATAATTTTCAAAATTAGTAGATGCAGAAAAAATTGTAAGATACAAGTTCAAAAATACTTAAAACATAATAAACACGTGCGTTTTACGGTGGTCAGTTGAGGTTCTTGAACGCACCTAAAAATTTCTTTTTGTTTGAAGAATAATATTATGACGCTGTGATTTATAGGAGTTCGATAATAACGTTTCCCTAGCACTGATTGCTATTATGTTCAGTTCAGGCACTCATTCTGGGAGGAGAATTTTACAAACTTTTTGTTTGTTTCCAATAATTTCACTTTTCGGCAGGTTGTTTTTGTTATTTGCTGCGCAAAACAATGACAATTCATCAAATTATTATTATTATTATTCGTTGCTCTGTACTGCTGATCAATTGTAACGTGTGGTTTTGGTAAGTCTCGAATATTTTATCTTGAGAAATGTTGCACAGTTATTTGAGAGTTAGAATCCCACGCAACCAGAGGTAAGAGCAATATTTTTTGAAACATTAAAGATCAATTTGAGGACTCATTTTAGAGGTTTTTTGAGACAAAGACGCAAGACAAATCAGAATTTCCATTGAGCCGTTGCTTATACTATCTAGAACTCTACAGACGTTTGGGAGTAACTACTTGGAACATATATAAAAAAATAGTTGTACTAAAATAATGCAAAAGCAACCTTAATTACCGCAACCATTTTCCGATTTTTAAACCCTACGAAAAGTTGAAAATATTCCACCAAATAGGTTATTTTTACAACTTACCAACAACTATGTAGTCTTAAAAATATATCAAAACTATTTTTTTATGGTCCTAAGGGGTAGGAAAATGGCCAGCGTAAATCAGTCAGATGTTGAGTGAAATAAAACAGAAGTACAGAAGTATTCTCATAGTTATAATTACTATTATTATTATAATGATCATGTATTTATGTGATTCATGTCAAAGACACGCACTCACTAATTGTATAAAAACAGTTCTCAGTTAACATTGATTATAAGGACTTTTTAAATATGTTAGACGAGCGCACTTTTTTTTTAATCATCAGGAAGCATGTTGAACGTGTACAGCCTGCATATACTGGCGACTTTTTTAACTAAAAACTATGCTTATATTGATGGCGGTGCGATTATGTATTTCCGAGTTTATTAGATAAAATGCGTTGCTCTTGTAAATCCCTTGCATTCTGATAAATTTGAACAGCAACCCAAGAGCTTAAATATAAATCGACGAAGTGAAACCACATCTGGATTTCGCATATTTAAGTTGATAAATCAAACGAAACCTGACCAACGGTGTCTAATAAATGAATTGCCAATAGAAAAATGTGTCGTAATTTTTATATTTAAGTTGCGCTTAGTAATCAATTTAACAGTAAATTTCCTATTAACTCTTTCTGCGTTTTTTGATAGTTCATTTTTAGTACCTATATTTTTGACTGCATCATTTTATGTACAATTTAAGTCTACTGACAGATGACGATCGGGGTAATGTGTTTCACGGCTCGAAGGTCGATGTAAGGGATATGTAAGGCATTCTCTATTTTTACTTACGTAAATTTGAATTTTCATGTCTCAAAATTATCATCGAATTATCTTTCTTATTCAGACTGAAGTCACATTTACTATTTTTTCAATGTTGTATAATTTATATCTACATATAATACTGTTGTGTAGGTACACCTTTCACGTACTCTAATCTAGATGTTACCGAACGTAAATAACTATAGGCTCGAATACCGTGTCCTATTAAGTAGATACAATGTTGTTAGCACCAGAAGGTAGGTAAAAAAACCCTTATATCGGGTCGAACCGACTGAAAGATATTTCTCGGACATTTGTGGTCGATTTTGTAAAATTATTCTCCGAAGTAAGAGGTCAGTTTCAAAGGCCTTTATTTTCCCAAACCAAATAAGTGTGTACCAGATTTATGCCCCAAGGGCATTTTATCTACCCTGGAGGTCTGGTTATAAAGGCAAGGACCTACAATTCATCTTCTCTCAGCTTGTCAGGAGCTTGTTTAGGATGTGATAATCGTGTTTAGGAAAATTTGGAGGTAAATGGAATGAAACGGATATTTTAACCCTTTTGATATGATTTGAGATATTTATACTTTCGGAGGTGAAAAAGTATTTTGGGCCACCACTGACGAGAGGAGGCAGCAAAAACCGTTCAGTAATGTACGACTACATTTATTTGCGTCCGGCTTAGCTAGAAAAAAAATGTACCAGCAAAGAAGTAAATGGGCTAAGTACTTAATTAAATATTTAAATTAGTAATTAGTAGTCAGATTTCGAGTATCGGCTCGTATCAGACAGTTAGCTGGAGAGTTTGACAATCGCCTCCCGACTGGGCATCAGGATGCAGCTTTAAGCTAAAGCCGCGTTACGCTAACCTTGGCCGGCGGACGCAAAAGACCACCAACGTTGATGACTTCTTGTGTGGTCTGAAGGCGGCCCGCTTGGGCGCTGCATTGAGGGCCCCGCAGAGCGCCACTAACGCGGGCTTGCCCGCCCCTGTTCTTCTTTAGGCAGTTCAAATCTTACGTAACATGCAGATAATACTTTCCATAACATTTACGTTTCCTGGAACCGGAAATGACTTATGGCTGCATCTATTAATATGTTTAGCAACTTTTCGTTAAGGGCAATGTTTAGAAGATTCCTCCATTTTTTGTATTTTTTTGTATCACAGATCTAATTGCTCGTACAATTTTGTTTCTGGGTTCATTTATTGCAGTAAGTTATGACAACACGCAACAAAATTAAGCAATCAGCAACCTTAGAATTGTGTAGAAGTCGTGCGAACATGCCTACAAGCGAAGTACATATGTGCAGGGTGTCCCAACAATAGTAGTAGTAAAGCAAATTATGGCTTAACCGGTATTATTTGTCTCAAAATCATCATCGGTGTATTGTAAAGATACTAAACGCGTAGTTTAGTATAGAAAACAACTTTTTTCATAAAACACCCTATATTTTGTTTGATTTTGTATTATTATGCAAATTTCTATCATTTTTTGTTATAAAAAATATGAAAAAAAATTGGGTAGGTACTTTTATGGCCGTTCGGATTTAACGATGAAAATTTGCATTTTCATGGTGTTGATTGATCAAAATTTATCCGTTGTCTTGAGAAGACAACCGTTGACACAAAATTTAGAAATTTAGCAGGATAAAGGACTGAAACTCTCTTAATCTTTGCTTTGTAAAATATTTGTCTTTGAAATTGCAGGGTGGTCATAATTATCGTCCAAGTTAACGCATTTTCAAGCTCAAAAATCTCACATTTTTTAAATGGCAGACCCCATATGTTAGCGCTATTTAATCAAGAGAACGAAGCCTTTTATTTTGTCGAAATACTTCCTCTAATGTCTAGTAATTTTGGAGCAAATGCAATTTTCCAAATTGGCATTGCATTATATTTGTGGGGTTGACCAAGAATTGCTTAGATAAGTAAAAATTGGCATTTACTAAAAATAATAATATAATACTAACTTGAGAGGAATTTAACAATATTTAATGAAAACGAATGTATAAAAGTTTAAAAAAGGAAATTACAAATACGCTCTATTTAGGCCTGTCCTGTTGATGCAATATTGCACTAAAACACTAAACATAACAGAGCTATTTAGAAAATTTGAATTTTATCGAAAGTTATCAATGATATACTGACGAAGTATTTATAAAAAATGTAAAGTTCGCTTATCCTGAATAAATATTATTATTCATTAGGAAGGGCGTGCCATTGAAAATAACAGTGATTTTTGAGCTTGACCATTTTGAGTTTAAAAAATTGAGATAAATATTTTGCAAACCTGATATTAATATAGTGTTAGTCCTTTCTTCTGCTAAATTTCAATATTATGTGTTTGTAGAGAACGGAGAAATGTTGGCTTTGTCAAATGTCCATAAACCATAAAAATACGAATTTTCATCGCTAAAGCCGAATAACTAAAAAACTATCCAATTTTAGTTCATATTTTATACCAGGAGATAACCAGAAGTAATTGAAATTTCCATAAGAAGTAAAAA